CCTACCTTATCTTGATGACTTTAATGAAAGTCAGATTCCCACTAAAGATAGACATGCTCAAATGAATCATGAGTATTTGGATTTATGCAAAAAAGAGATAGAATCTCTTTTAGAGAAAAAAATTAATAAGAAAATCCAAATCTCCTTGGAGTTGCACAGCCTTTTATGTCAATAATGCTGCAGAAAAGGAACGTGGAGTTCCTAGACTCGTTATAAATTACAAACCACTTAATAAAGTGTTAAAATGGACTAGATATCCTATTTCTAATAAAAAAAGATCTTTTAGATAGATTAAACAATGCTTTAATCTTCTCCAAATTTGATATGAAATCTGGTTATTGGCAAATTCAGATTAATGAATCTGATAAGTATAAAACAGCTTTTACCGTACCTTTTGGACATTATGAATGGAATGTCCTTCCTTTTGGCCTTAAAAATGCCCCTTCTGAATTTCAAAATATTATGAATGATATTTTTAATCCTTATACGGAATTTATAATTGTTTATATTGATGATGTTTTAGTTTTTTCAAAAACTATAGATCAACATATGAAACATTTGAAAATATTCAAAGGATTAATTAAGCATAATGTATTAGTAATATCTGGTCCTAAGATGAAACTTTTTCAAACAAAGGTTAGATTTTTAGGACATGAAATTGACCAAGGAACCATAATTCCTATACAAAGAAGTATTGAATTTGCTTCTAAATTCCCTAATATTTTTACAGATAAGAAACAATTACAAAGGTTTCTTGGTAGCCTTAATTACATAGTAGATTATTATGAAAATCTAGCTAAAGATACGGCAATATTACATGCTAGGCTTAAAAAGAATCCTGGCCCTTGGACTGAAAAACATTCTCAGGCAGTCCAAAGAATTAAAAATAAGGTGAAATGTTTTCCTTGTTTATCTCTTGCTAATCCTAAGTATTTAAAAATTGTTGAAACTGATGCTTCAGACTTAGGCTATGGAGGAATCCTTAAACAAATAATACCTGAAAACTAAAAAGAAGTTTTGGTTAGATTTACTTCTGGAAAATGGAATCCAACACAAGCAAAATATTCAGCTATCAAGAAAGAGATGCTTTCTATTATAAAATGCATTTCAAAATTTCAAGATGATCTTCTTAATAAAAAAATTTTATTAAAAATTGATTGTAGTTCAGCTAAATCAATTATTGAAAAAGATGTTAAAAATCTTGTTGCTAAGAAAATTTTTGCTAGTTGGCAATCGCAATTATCTATGTTTGAATTTGATATTCAACACATTAAAGGTGAAAATAATTCACTTGCTGATTATTTAACTCGTGAATTTTTGCAGGGAAAAAATGATGAACCCATATAGGGGTAGAGGCCGCGGTTATGGCCGTGGTTGGAGAGGGAGTAACAATATGTTACCCCAGTCAGACTCAAACATTCCTCTAATAGGGGATTGGACTACTGTCTACAAAGGTAGAAAAATGCAACAATTACCTGCATCTTCAGCAAAAAGGGAAGATATTACTTCCTCTTCCTCTAATAAAACTACATCCTCCAAGGAAGTTGCGTTTAATAACCCACCTCAAGAACAAATGGATTATTTTGAAAATCCAGTAATTGAGAAAATCATGTATATTGATGATGAAGATATAAAGATAAATCCAAATGATGGATGGTCTATCAAAACTAGATACCTCGAATCAAGAGGATATCCAGGTCTTCATGGAAAATCTAGGCCCAACCTAGAAATTCTCCTGCTGTTACCGAATTGGTAACAATTACTCACCATTACCAAAACAATAATCCTGAAAGTTTTATAAACTTCAGTAAATGTTACATTAACAAAATTTTGTTACCAAGAGAATGGGGTCTCAACCCAAATGCTGAAAAGGCAATAAGAATTGCAGAAGGAAAGTATATTTACTTTAGTTATTGGGACTATGTACAGGCTTTCACTCAAGCCTTTTATTACCAAAATCCCAAGAACAAGCATTCTTGGTTTTTCTCTATTAATGAAGAGATGGTTAATAAACCCACACCAAATTGGTTTTATGAATGGTGGGCTAAATTTGGTCCATCTTTGGATATTCTTCCTAAAGAAATTCTTAACTTATATAATCCATTGTGTGATAATAGTCCACTTATTGTAAAAAATTTATCTGATAATTTAATCACTGGACAATGTCCATTATTTTTCTTTATTAAATTTCAGATTCCATGGATATGGAGGTGGACAATCACCATATCAAAAAACAAACTTAACATTCCCATTTTAGAAAGAAATTTCTTTTATAAATGGTGGAACAAGATGAGTTCAGAGGATGTCCAGAATAAAATTAAATTAATTGAAGAAGCAATAGCTGAAGACCAGAATAATAAGGTCAAGGAACAAAGCTCCCAACAAATGTCTATGGAAAACTTGAAGAACTTCTTCAACAGAAAATATCCCAATGAATCAGAAGACGAAATTATGGTCAGAATTTTGGATCATATGAAGAACCAATTCTTCTCTACTTTTCCATCAAAAGCATCAAAAGATGAGAATTCATCTATGAAGACAAGCTCTTCCATGTGATCAATGGATTCCCATAATTTTGAAGGTTTAGCAAGAGAAGGTCAAGCAGATGAAGCTACTGCAGAAGATTTCTGGGATGCAATGATTCAATCTTTGAAAGAAAAAAGAAAAGCAAAGAATTAATTTGTTATCTTGTATAAATATAATGAAGTAAGAATCAATAGACAAAGGTTAAAGGACAAGAAATAATAGAAGAAGAATCTTTCCAAAAGCAAAAGGACAAGGGAATCTTATCTTGTCTTTAATAATTTCTAGGCATAATTGCATGCATTTTCTATCTTTTGTAAAAGACAATGGAATAAGAATCTTATCTTATCTTGTCTTTAATAATTTCTAGGCATTTTACATGCATTTTCTATCTTTTGTAAAAGACAAGGGAAAAAGAATCTTATCTTGTCTTTAATAATTTCTAGGCATGCATTTGATTTTTGTAGTTTCTTGTTAATTGTTGTGACGATGGGGCCCCAAGTGTACCCGACAATAATTATACAAGTTACCGGCTATTGTAAGTTTTAGTTACCGGCTTAAATAGTAAGCCTTTTCTTCCCTATATAAAGGGATTTAAGTTTCATTTGTAATTACACCTTTGAATAACAAGTTTGAACTTTCTTGCAATATTCTCTCACAATCTTCTATACTCCTCTTTTCTTTACTAAAATTCTGATCCTGCTTCTGCTAAACTACATTTCTGTATCATCACCTGGACTTGCCAAATCTAAGGTATATTTCTTACTTTATCATGAAAAATAGTGTCTAAATTTATGTTGTGAGAGGTTGATTATGCTTAGACAAAACTAAGTAGGTAACTTTTTCTCATAACATATTATTAACTAGCAAACAACCTTTTCAAAGTATTTTTAAAACTAAAAAGTGTTTTTAGTGTTTTCTTAAACATTCATCTTTTTTTTTCCCGGGGAAGGGAGTTGTTGATGATTTCAAAAAAGAAAATTTTTGCTAAAAACAGTTTGACATCTTTGATTTGGGAGAAATTCTTCTATCCCTTCGGGTTAATAGTTAAACAATTTGTTGTTTGCTTAGATGACTTTTAATTGGTTTTTGTTTTAGCTAAAATTATGTTATGAGTCCAAGTTATCTATTTTGATTTAACTTTGCGTATCAACCAATCACAACATTCTTAGCCTATTCTCCTATGGATTCTGATGATGATAATCATCAAAATAATTTAATAAAAAATGAAGAATTAATTGAATATCCAAAAAATATGGATAAACTCAACAGATGGGTTATACCCTCAGTTCCTTCTAATCAAATTTATAGATTTGGTAAGATAGATGTTTTTTCTCGTTTTGCTGTTAAAACTTTAGAGCAAACGATTCAAATTTCTAAAGAAACTCAGACAATAAAACTGTTAACTAAAAAAGATTTGAAACCTTTTAAAAATTATAATTTTCTCCATATTAGATTGGTTCAAATTGCTTTAAAACCTTTAACATTATTGGGTTTAAATTCTAGCATAATGGCTTATGTTAGAGATGGTAGATGTAAAGATTTCAAACAATCTTTAGCTGCTATGGTTGAGACAAGTCTGTGTCATGGACCAGTTTACTTTGATGTCTCACCTAATTTAAATCTATCTTTATCTGATAAAAATTTATTAGATGCTATGCAATTAACACTTCATACTAATGGTTATAATTTTAAACCGGGAAGTGAAATTATAGCAATATGCTATAGAATCTACTATAAGGTTCTTACTACGCTTAATCCTAAAGTAAAGCATTTATCATTTCCTGGAACCACTACTTTGGTTCAAACAAATTTATTAACATCCAATGTTGCAACTAATAGGTTAATAAAGTGGGATGAAATAAACTTCCCAAAGACATGGTCTCTCCCCCAGGAAATAGATCCTGAACTATCCTTAATAGGGATATAGACCAAATTATTCAGACTACTGAAGGAGATTTAGAAATAAATTTCACTTCAAAAAGAATAACTAGAATACCCAGGTCCCTATATGCTAGGCACTCAGTTAGTGAATTTTACACAGCTCCTAGCCAATTACCTAGACCTTCTACTTCTCAAATAAGAGAAGAAATAGAGGTCGTTGAGAATATAAGACTAAGCGAAAATAGAGTTCCCCATGGAATTTATCAAAAACCTCATACTCCAAGAGTAGAATCACCTACTCAGTCAGATATGGATTTCCAATTATAATGATAGATGACTCCCCTGGTAGTAAGATGAGACAACTCATCAATGATAAGTTTCAACATGAGAGATACTCTCAATTTAGAAATTGGTTTTTTTAAAAAATTTCAAAACCTGAATTATCCCAATTTAAAGATGAGTATTACACTCAAATGAACCTTGAGCAGGATTTCGTTCCTTTTGTTAAATGGTTTGTTAATTACTTCATAAATAAAAAGCAAGAAGAAATTCTTGTGTTACAAAGACCTTGGTAAAACATTAGAGGAGAAATAATGGAATCTCCTTTTCCCCCTGAACAAACAATAAGTTTGAGTCAAAATACTGAAGCTACCCCTTACCTTAGCCTTCAGTTACAAAGAGTTGAACAAAATCAAGTTACTCTTAAGGAATTAAATTCAGTCATCAGGTCTCAAAATTATACCAATGTTTACCTTGTTTGCTTAGGAGAACAAATTATCTCCATGGAAAAAGATCTCTTATCCATAAAAGATCTTTTAGAAAAACAAATAGAGCGTCAAGATATCATTATTGACCACATAAATAAACCTAAAGACCAAATATCCACATCCACTATTTCGGATGTTCCTATAGTGCAACCTCCTGTTTCCATAGAAGGATTTAAAATGGAAACTAACGGAGAAGAATTTGTTCGTATTTTAGAACAAAAACTAAAAGGACTTAATATCACTGTCATGTCCCGTGAAGATTATTCTGAGGATAATAATGACAACCATATTGACCAGCTTGCTGATATGTTTGCTAATTTAGACATTAGTAACCTTGATATTAATACTAATAGTATTAATAATACTAATAGTATAAATCCTGTTTATTCCCCAAGGCCTATAGAAAAGTATTATTACAAGCGTCCCTCACCGCAAGATTTGCTTTTTGAGGAATCAGAACCTTTCCAGAATTCTTATTCAGGAAAAGCCATTTATGAATGGAATGTTGATGGTCTTAATGACAAACAAATTATAGATACTATCCATAGGATGATCATGTACTCTACTATTTGCAAGCAACATGGAAATTCTGATGCTTCAATAGCATCCTTTATAACAACAGGATTTGTTGGCCAACTTAGAGGCTGGTGGGATCATTATCTCACTGAATCTCAAAAATTAGAGATTATTAATCATAAAAAAATCGTTAAGAGCGAACCAAGAACTAGTACGAGCACTATTGTGGCTACAACCACCACAGGAGAAGAAGATGCAGTGTATACACTGTGTCTCTCCATCTTACAACATTTTGTAGGAACCAATGTCCCCATTGGAGAAAAAATCCAGACACATCTCCAAAACCTTAGGTGTCCTTCTCTCACCCACTTTAGATGGTATAAGGATACTTTTCTTTCAAGAGTTTATCAATTAAACAATCCCAATTATTTTCACTGGAAAGCAAAATTTATTGATGGATTACCTCATTTCTTTTCTGAGAAAGTTAGACAATCCTTAAGACAGAAAAATGATGGGATAAATATAAATTATTCAGATCTTACTTATGGTCATATAATTAGCACTTGTGTTAATGAAGGATTAACTTTATGTAAAGACATAAAGCTTAGAAATCAACTCAAAAAGCAAAAGCTCTCTGAAAAACACCAAATTGGTGAATTTTGTGAGCAATTTGCTTTTGATCTTGGAAAATCTCCAGATAATAAAAAGAAAAAAGGAAAAATATTCCGCAATAAACCTTATAGGGATAAGCCAAAAAATTCTTATAAAAATTCTTATAAGAATAAGAAAAGGGGTCACTACAATAGAGGTAGACCTAAAGAAAAATCTTTTGACCCTAAAGGTAAAAGAAAAGCCAAAAGGCTTGACATAACATGTCATAAATGTGGCAAACCTGGCCATTATGCCAACCAATGTTGGACTAAAAAAGCTCTTAATGAGATAGAAGATGAACAATTACGTTCTCAATTAGAGAAAGTTTTACTTCTCAATTCTGATTCTGAAGATTAGTCTTCAGAAGAAAATATTAATATGATTTATGAATCTTCTTCTGAATGCTCTTCTGAATCTTCTAACAGTAATAATTGTCAATGCAATCAATTAGATTACTGGAAATCAATAGTTGATATGAATGGGTTAAACGTTTTAACCTCAGAACAGGATGAAGCTATAAAGGCTATAGAGTCCATTTCTGATACAAATTTTAAAAGAAAAATGCTTGAGGTTCTAATCCAAGAAAACTCTAGAAAAGAATCCCCTGTTATTACAAAAGCACCTTACCAATTAAGTGAGGTTTTATCTAGATTTAGACAATCTAACATCCGTGAAACTCCTGTTTCTATTATGGATTTAAATAGAGAAATAAATCTCTTAAAAAAATGAGATAGCTCAAATTAAAAAAGAAAACCATGGTTTATCTCAAAGGCTCACTTTCTTAGAGTCCAATAATTCAAAAATTGAAGAAATAGCTTCCACTAATAATTCTTCACCTAGTAATAGATTCCTTTCTCTCATTGATAGAGTAACTTCTCAAAAATGGTTTGTTAGAATAATGTTAGTTATTAATAGAAATTTCATATTAGAAAATGAAGTTGCCCTTATTGATAGTGGCGCTGATTTAAACTGCCTTCAAGAAGGAATTATTCCCACTAAGTATTTTGATAAAACTACTCAATCTCTTACACAAGCTGGAGGAGATAAACTTACGGTTAATTATAAATTATCTAATGCTTATGTTTGTAACAAAGATACTTGTTTACCCACTCACTTTATTCTTGTGAAAAACTTAACTCATAGAATTATATTAGGAACTCCCTTTCTGCATAAAATTATGCCTCTAATTAATGTTGATCAAAAGGGGATTACCTCCATTATTAATAATAAAAGAATTACTTTTGAATTCATTACTGATCCTCATACTAGGATGATTAATGAAGTTAAAGATATTCTTCTTAAAAAAAGAAAAACAAATTTGTTTTCTTAAAGAAGAAGTGGGTTTATTAAACATCACTTCTCAACTAAAAAACCCTGAAGTTCAAAATCAAATTAAATTAATTGATCAACAGTTTAGAGAAGAAATATGCAATGATTTACCTAATGCCTTTTGGGATAGGAAGAAACATGTTATTTCTTTACCTTATCTTGATGACTTTAATGAAAGTCAGATTCCCACTAAAGCTATGCCTGCTCAAATGAATCATGAGTATTTGGATTTATGCAAAAAAGAGATAGAATCTCTTTTGGAGAAAAAATTAATAAGAAAATCCAAATCTCCTTGGAGTTGCACAGCTTTTTATGTCAATAATGCTGCAGAAAAAGAACGTGGAGTTCCTAGACTCGTTATTAATTACAAACCACTTAGTAAAGTGTTAAAATGGATTAGATATCCTATTCCTAATAAAAAAAGATCTTTTAGATAGATTAAACAATGCTTTAATCTTCTCTAAATTTGATATGAAATCTGGTTATTGGCAAATTCAGATTAATGAATCTGATAAGTATAAAACAGCCTTTACCGTACCTTTTGGACATTATGAATGGAATGTCCTTCCTTTTGGCCTTAAAAATGCCCCTTCTGAATTTCAAAATATTATGAATGATATTTTCAATCCTTATACGGAATTTATAATTGTTTATATTGATGATGTTTTAGTTTTTTCAAAAACTATAGATCAACATATGAAACATTTGAAAATATTCAAAGGATTAATTAAGCATAATGGATTAGTAATATCTGGTCCTAAGATGAAACTTTTTCAAACAAAGGTTAGATTTTTAGGACATGAAATTGACCAAGGAACTATAATTCCTATACAAAGTATTGAATTTTATTCTAAATTCCCTAATATTATTACAGATAAGAAACAATTACAAAGGTTTCTTGGTAGCCTTAATTACATAGCAGATTATTATGAAAATCTAGCTAAAGATACGGCAATATTACATGCTAGGCTTAAAAATAATCCTGGCCCTTGGACAGAAAAACATTCTCAGGCAGTCCAAAGAATTAAAAATAAGGTGAAATGTTTGCCTTGTTTATCTCTTGCTAATCCTAAGTATTTCAAAATTGTTGAAACTGATGCTTCAGACTTAGGCTATGGAGGAATCCTTAAACAAATAATACCTGAAACCTCAAAAGAAGTTTTGGTTAGATTTACTTCTGGAAAATGGAATCCAACACAAGCAAAATATTCAACTATCAAGAAAGAGATGCTTTCTATTATAAAATGCATTTCAAAATTTCAAGATGATCTTCTTAATAAAAAAATTTTATTAAAAATTGATTGTAGCTCAGCTAAATCAATTATTGAAAAAGATGTTAAAAATCTTGTTGCTAAGCAAATTTTTGCTAGTTGGCAATCGCAATTATCTATGTTTGAAATTGATATTCAATACATTAAAGGTGAAAATAATTCACTTGCTGATTATTTAACTCGTGAATTTTTGCAGGGAAAAAATGATGACCCCATATAGGGGTAGAGGCCGCGGTTATGGCCGTGGTGGGAGAGGGAGTAACAATATGTTACCCCAGCCAGAATCAAACATTCCTCTAATAGGGGATTGGACTACTGTCTACAAAGGTAGAAAAGTGCAGCAATTACCTGCATCTTCAGCAAAAAGGGAAGATATTGCTTCCTCTTCCTCTAATAAAACTACATCCTACAAGGAAGTTGCGATTAATAACCCACCTCAAGAACAAATGGATTATTTTGAAAATCCAGTAACTGAGAAAATCATGTATATTGATGATGAAGATATAAAGATAAATCTAAATGATGGATGGTCTATCAAAACTAGATACCTCGAATCAAGAGGATATTCAGGTCTTCATGGAAAATCTAGGCCCAACCTAGAAATTCTCCTGACTGTTACCGAATCGGTAACAATTACTCACCATTACCAAAACAATAATCCTGAAAGTTTTATAAACTTCAGTAAATGTCACATTAACAAAATTTTGTTACCAAGAGAATTGGGTCTCAACCCAAATGCGGAAAAGGCAATAAGAATTGCAGAAAGAAAGTATATTTAATTTAATTATTGGGACTATGTCCAGGCTTTCACTCAAGCCTTTTATTATCAAAATCCCAAGAACAAGCATTCTTGGTTTTTCTCTATTAATGAAGAGATGGTTAATAAACCCATACCAAATTGGTTTTATGAATGGTGGGCTAAATTTGGTCCATCTTTGGAAATTCTTCCTAAAGAAATTCTTAACTTATATAATCCATGGTGTGATAATAGTTCACTTATTGTAAAAATTTTATCTGATAATTTAATCATTGGACAATGTCCATTATTGTTCTTTATTAAATTTCAGATTCCATGGATATGGAGATGGACAATCACCATATCAAAAAACAAATTTAACATTCCCATTTTAGAAAGAAATTTCTTTTATAAATGGTGGAACAAGATGAGTTCAGAGAATGTCCAGAATAAAATTAAATTAATTGAAGAAGCAATAGCTGAAGACCAGAATAATAAGGTCAAGGAACAAAGCTCCCAACAAATGTCTATGGAAAACTTGAAGAACTTCTTCAAGAGAAAATTTCCAATGAATCAGAAGACGAAATTATGGTCAGAATTTTGGATCATATGAAGAACCAATTCTTCTCTACTTTTCCATCAAAAGCATCAAAAGATGAGGATTCATCTATGAAGACAAGCTCTTCCATGGGATCAATGGATTCCCATAATTTTGAAGGTTTAGCAGGAGAAGGTCAAGCAGATGAAGCTACTGCATAAGATTTCTGGGATGCAATGATTCAATCTTTGAAAGAAAAAAGAAAAGCAAAGAATTAATTTGTTATCTTGTCTAAATATAATGAAGTAAGAATCAATAGACAAAGGTTAAAGGACAAGAAATAATAGAAGAAGAATCTTTCTAAAAGCAAAAGGACGAGGGAATCTTATCTTGTCTTTAATAATTTCTAGGCATAATTGCATGCATTTTCTATCTTTTGTAAAAGATGAGGGAATAAGAATCTTATCTTATCTTGTCTTTAATAATTTCTAGGCATAATTACATGCATTTTATTTCTTTTGTAAAAGAAAAGGGAAAAAGAATCTTATCTTGTCTTTAATAATTTCTAGGCATGCATTTGATTTTTGTAGTTTCTTGTTAATTGTTGTGACGATGGGGCCCCAAGTGTACCCGACAATAATTATACAAGTTACTGGCTATTGTAAGTTTTAGTTATCGGCTTAAATAGTAAGCATTTTCTTCCCTATATAAAGGGATTTAAGTTTCATTTGTAAACACACCTTGGAACACCTTTGAATAACAAGTTTGAACTTTCTTGCAATATTGTCTCACAATCTTCTATACTCCTCTTTTCTTTACTAAAATTCCGATCCTGCTTCCGCTAATATATATATATATATATATATATATATATATATATATATATATATATATATATATATATATATATATATATATATATATATATATATATATATATATATATATATATATACATATGTATATATATACATATGTATATATATATACACATATGTATATATATATACACATATGTATATATATATACATATGTATATATATATATATATATATATATATATATATATATATATATATATATATATATATATATATATATATATATATATATATATATATATATATATATATATATACATATATATATATATATATATATATATATATATATACACATATGTATATATATATATATATATATATATATATATATATATATATATATGTACATATATATATATATATACATATATATATATATATATACATATATATATATATATATATATATATATATATACACATATGTATATATATATATATATATATATATATATATATATATATATATATATATATATATATATATATATATATATGTACATATATATATATATATATATATATATATATATATATATATATATATATACATATATATATATATATATATATATATATATATATATATATGTACATATATATATATATATATATATATATATATGTACATATATATATATATATATATATATATATATATATATATATATATATATATACATATGTACATATATATATATATATATATATATATATATATATATATATATATACATATGTACATATATATATATATATATATATACATATATATATATATATATACATATATATATATATATATATATATATATATATATATATATATATATATATATATATATATATATATATATATATATATATATATATATATATATATATGTACATATGTGTGTATATATATATATATATATATATATATATATATATATATATATATATATATATATACATACATAAAAATCAATAACTAAAAATAAATAAAACCCTTCTTTAAAAGTTAAAAGAAAATCTAACAAAATAATTAAGAAAATAAAATTTAAGAGAAAGGGGGTGTAGAAAAAAACACGGTGGGCCCTTAGGCCCACATCTTGAAACACGACATGGATCCAACAGTTAGTCAAACAAAATTAAGTTAAAAAAAAACAAAATGAAAAGGGTATCACGACTCATCACCATCAAAACATCAACAAAGTGACGAACAATAAAACTGGCCATGGAAGCTTTCGTCGATGCGTGAAACGACCACATTCATCCAAGACCCTTGCGAATCACTTTGTCTCTCTCCGTCTCAGTGCCATGGTTTTCTCAGTGTCACTCCCTCCCGCTCTTTCATTTTCTCACTCGTAATCGGTTCAATTTCGACTTCCAGTTCGATCCGCTTCGATTTCAAGTTTGTCTTTGTTTTTGATTTACTCAGGCTCGACTCCTTCTTCTCAATTTCTTCTCTTCTTAGTTTATTGCTATGGGTTCTGAGTTGTTGTTTGAACGAAGTTTGATTATGTGCTTTTGAATGAGGTTGAAAGGAGAATATTTGGTTGTTGATTTAGGTTTTGGAAGAAAAGGGAAGGGCTGATGAACAAGTTTGAGGTGGGTTTTGTTGTTTCGGTTTTTATCTGGGTTTGGAATAACTGAAGTGGGGTTTACTGTGTTGGCTGGGTTTTAATTGTTTGAAGTTGGAATGGTTGGGATTTGATGAAGTTAGTTTGGTTTATGTTGAAATGGTTTTGCTGTGTGATTTGTTAATGGATGTTTGAAGATGACGGTACGGAGACGGACGATTTTCGTTTGATTTTCTGGCTTGGTTGTTGGTTGTAGCGTTTTGAAAGAGAAGAGGGATATGGAGTTTGTTTTGAAGAAGTTAAGGTTGAATGAAGAAGATGGCCGGAAACTGAGTTGATGAGATGGTGGTGTCACGGTTTCTGAAGGAGATGAAGTTGATGAAGCAGAAGATGAGTTGGGAAAACAATGGCGGCAGAAAATCGAAAGAGGAAGTCTGAGTTTGTGTTGCTGTTGTTTGTTTGTGGTTGACAGAGTTATGGTTGAAAGCTTGAAGGAGGTTTGAAGGTTTTGAAGTGTTGTTGGTTGAAGAAGAAGGGTGAAAGGAGGTTGAAGATAGAGTGGATCCAGAGGGAGAATGTTGTTTTTTTTAAGCAAGAATGAAGGTGAGTGTGTTATGGTGGAATTTCGGTTAAAGAAAATGACAGTTGGAGGAAGACGTTTTTGAAGTTGATGAGATGTTGTTGGTTTTTCTGGTGATAGTTTGATGATGATGGAGATTTTGAAACTGAGGTTATGATGTTGTGTGGTTCACTCTTATGAAGGTTATCTTTGCATAAGGTGAGAGTTGTGAGGGGAGAATCTCGTGAGGTTGAGGTTTTGAGATGGAGATCTATCGATGTTTTGAGGGAGAGAGGTTTATGGGTTGTGATTTCGGTTTTGTTGGAGATTGAGAGAGTTTATGAAACATGTTTCTGGGTTATGGATTTCGAGTGGGTAAGGAAAAGATTGAAGGAGAAAATAGGTTTCTGGTTACGGTTTTGATTGAGTTTCACGGTCCCTTTGTATCCATCTTCTCATCTTATGGTTCCCCCCTCCCCCCCCCCCCCCCCCCCCCACCCACCCAATGTGACTTTGTTTTCTCCTCTTTAAAACCTCAACAAAACCTTGCTTTTTCTTTCAAAATTAAAAGCTTATCTATCTCATTATTGTGTTTTTTGATCCATTGCTTTCATGTTGCAGGATTTGGCTTGGTGTGGTTTGTATCGTACAGTTTCTGCAGGTTAGCACCAAGGCACAGCAGGTCTGTTGTTGTCCTTTTATTGGCTGTTTTTTTTTTAGGTCATGGTTTGTTGGAGGGTTTTTGGCTGGTTGTGGTAGAGCAGGTACGGATTGGTTGTTGCTTTGCATTGCGGTACAAGTTGCAGCAGAGGTTAATTGTAGCCTTGTATTGTGAGCTTCATTTGGGGTCGTACCAGTTGAAGGAAGATAGTGGTGAAGGCATGTTGTAAGTGCGTACAATCCGTTGAGGTGTGGGCTGTATTATACGATTTGTTTATTTCCAACTGTAAAGGTTTGTTGCAAAATTCTTTGTGGAGAGCAACAATTGTGGCCGCGAAAAGATCATGGTGATATTGTGTTGTGTTGGGTATATCGTGGGTGGTTTTACAGATCATACGATTTTATCGTTATTGATTTTATCTGTTGTGAGGCACTTGTTTGCAGGTGAAGTTACAAAGGTTGGCGATGACAAAAGCAGCTGCAGCAGGTTTTGCCTGGCGTGGGATTTTTGTGTGAAGGTTTTGGAGTGCGGCTGAGGGTTTCAGCAATTGTTGTCTTTGTCGGTACGGTTTTGTTTCATAGTGATCTGGTACCCCCTAATTTCTGCAGTGTGTTTATGCAGGTAGTGTAATGGGTGGCGTGTAATGTTTGTGTGAGTTGTACCGTGTTGCAGGTTTATGGTTGAGGAGCATGGCAATTGGCATCACAGCGGTACGAATTTGCAGGTTCTAGCATGTAGTATGGATAGGGACGGTTGTGAGGTACGGTCTATAGGCTGGAAGGTTTTGGGATGTTTATGTCGTGACGCGCTTCCTCTATTCTTGCCAGTTGTGTAG